CTCTCTCTCTCTCTCTCTCTCTCTCTCTCTCTCTCTCTCTCTCTCTCTCTCTTCGCATGCGTACGTGTGCGAAGAAGACTCAGTTCGCACGCGAGCGAAGCTCTAACCAGCTCGAATCGAAGACGCCGGCGAACCTGGAATCACGCGAGCTGCGTAAAAATGATCCCTGATGGTCGCATATGAGGGAAGACCGTCCCGAGTTCACGGTGAAAATCCCTGAAGCTGGCATGGATGAACGAAGGAGAAACTCCGCACGAGACGAGGATGATGAACGTCTCGATGATGAACGTCTTATGTAGTATTATATAATATGCTGCGGAGGAGCACACTGCCAGTTACACGCATAATTGAGGCACCAAGGTATTGACCTGAACAACGAAGTTTAAGTTATAAAACAAGAAAGTTTCTTTTTTATGAAAAATTCTATAATTTTACTAAACTTGATATCATAATGTTTATTCTAATAATTTTGTAGTAACAGCAATTGTATTGTTTGTTTGTCACGTGTCTATCTGAATTTAATAAAAATAGGTAAATATAACTCTCTTTCTCCGTCTCTCTCTATCTCTCTCTCTCTCTTTAGCAGCTATGTCACTATATTTGAACATGGCAAATTATTTGTATAGAAGACGTATATATTACATAATAAATACGTATGCTAATAAGTTAAGCATGCAGCTAAGCACTATTTTTTTGTGGTGATTTGGAATTATTCTAAGAGAGGAAACTGTGGTCTGTGTGATAAAAAACACTGTTGACTATCTCATAAATAGTTACAAGTGAAAGACCATCATGTGTAATGATAATTATTTTTTCCTTAAAACTTTAACTCTAAGACTTAAAATTATTAAACTGTAATGAAAAAAATATGAAACTCATGATTATAAACTATAGAAAACTATATAAGAAAAACATTTAACATTTCTAATTATGAATACATGCAATTTTCAATTTTTATTAATTTATTAAATAATGTTTTACTAAAAAATTTTTTTGCTTTATTACATATAATTAGTGTAAATTTATCAATAATTTTCCAGTGATAGATGATCATATGAAGGTAAAACAGTAATAAGTAGATTTTTTAAATTTAATGTCATATGAAAGACTTATGACGCTATCTGACGGAGTATGCTCGTTTCATCTTATTCGTAGCAATAGAAGATAATTAAGAGACCTGATTTCGCTCAATTGATAAATAGAAGCGATATAAATTAATATCATTACGAATTAATTTCTAAGCTTTATTAATTGGCACAAGACTTGTTTTTATTACCTTCTTTTGTAATAATTTTTGAAATAGAATAATTATATATATTTATTACTATTTTAATGAATTCATACATCTTTTTTAAAAAGATAGTTTTATTATAACATCTTTTTATCAAGAAATGTAATAAAAACTATAATAAAAAAATTAATTAACATTGTTGAATGTATCGTGTAAAGTCTCGCGCGATTGTTATACTTATCATTTGTGCGTATCTGATTGTGATTAATTGACAGTTAAATTTAATCTTTATAATTTTAAAATTACCTTTATTAATTCACATATCAAAATATAAAAATTTATCATAATGTAAAAGTGACAAATTAATTAGTAATTTAAAAAAACTTTATTTATTCTCCCCTTTCTAAAAAAAGCATGACATCGATTGTCTCGCATTTCTCGAACTTTATTGTTGTCGCTTTTCCGTGATATCGAAAAGGTGATTCTCTCGCTGCGCTAACTTCATGAATAGCTAGTCATTGTATTGATCTCACAGAAGATCGTTTTGATAATTGTATATTAAAAAGTTAAAAATAGTGTAACAGTAGTATAATGGTATTATATTAATTTTTGCTCTTGTGTTGAAAAAGATAAATAGCGCGCGCTTGTAATGTCTAGTCTGTATATAAACCATCTCTGAAATTAGAGCTACTAATGTTTAGGATATAAATTCAGTCGAACATTCTGCTTCCCAAATTTTATCCATGCAAGTATAGGAAAATGTTGTACATTCCAAATCAGGAAATGAATCAAATAGTTATAGCATATTCTTAATATTGTGCCGATATAAGGTACATCTGAAAAAGGCAGATAATGAATTAATTGTCGATACAATAAAATGTTGCACTGTTGATAATATAAAATGTGAAGTAAATTGATACTTACAATACAGTTTAATAATCAGCTCACGATATTTTAAATTTAACCAACTATACCATCCAAGCTCTTTATCTAAAACGTAGATTATATCTTTGATTAAATAATGTTTACTGAATTGTTTGTTTATTTAAAATATTTATATAAATCTTTGGTCATTGTGTAAATTAAGCACGTGTATTTATGATAAACATCATAATTATATAAACATTCAAAATAAGTATGTTTTGATGAATGTATTATTAATATATACTGATAAAAATGTTTAAAAACATATAATTAAATGTTAAATATAAAATATAATTTCGCTCTAGATAATAGAATAATAGTTAATATAGTAATAGTTAGAATAATAGTTAGAATAATAGTTAATATAGTAATAGTTAATAATAAATATTACAAAATAAATTAATATTTTGTAAATTTTTTCTTACAAAAAATATATTTTAATACATGTGATTTATTCGACTTTTAATATTTGATTTAATGAAAATTATATAAATATTTAATTTTTCAAATATAATAAATATAATAAATATAATAAAATATAATATAATAAAATCAATATAATCAATAAAATCAATATAATAAAATCAATATCAATAAAATCAAATGATCGAAAGAATAAATATGAATAAATATCTTATATCGATATAAAGAAATACTTTAAAATTGATGAATACAGTTATAATCAAAACAAAAATTGAATACTTACATTTGATGCCATGAAGTAGATAGGTGAAATATAAGACAGCATCTGTGTTTATTGTGATATCAAAATACCATAATGCATCTATTGCATTTCTCATTACATCGTTAAATTCAGATGGAATGTTTGTCAAATAATTTACATACAAACCTTTAATTTTTTCACATAATTGGATAGTTTCTTTTGCATCTTTGCGACACAAATTAAATCTATGGATAAAGATGAATAAATAATGAAATTAGAGTAAAATTAATGTATATTCGTCTAAATTCGATATTATTTTATAATACGAAACTGTGAATTAGATTGTGTATTAAATATGGATACTGATTTTGTTTAGCAAAAATCTTACAATATTATCATATGTATCACTTGTTTAGACTGTTTAATAAAAATTATTATCATTATTATTATCATTATCATTACTTTTAGAAAAAATTATTATCATTATCATTACCTATCAGGAATTCCTAACATGTAACCGTTTACACGCCATAAATGATTAAATGCTTCTTCTTCCTCCGGTGTACTGCGCAATCCGAAATATGTAGGACTAACCAAAGCATATCCCACAAATGCGAATTGAGTAAGTACCATATCTCTTTGAGAAATTTCCCCAATACCGGAATTCTTTGTTCTTCTGGTGGCCATTTTATGATACCAACGAATTGCATTCATCGATTTATACCATCTAATAGATTTTAAGAGTGCAAAAGTTAATAAATATCTTTTCACACTTAAAGGTTTATTTTAAATTTGATGTGAGAGAATATTTTCATTTCTTTCATACTTTATATAATTCTATATATACACTTTTAAATATAATTCTGCATTTAGCTTTATACAATAATTGCGAAAATTCCATAAAATTTCAATTATGATAAAATTTTTTACATTTTTACAAAGACTATTAAAAATTTCTTAAAGATCTTTTTATTTGTATTTAAAATAGCATATGTAAAAATAAAAAAGAACAAAAAATTATGTATATAGAAAATATATTTGTGTAAATTATATTAAAAGAAATAAATAAATTTAATCTACAAATAATAATAATAACGTCTTTATATTTCTTATGTTAATGTATGCTATTAATAAAGGTTTCTTCATATTTATTCTATTTATATAAATTTACTTCTTTGTCTATAATTTATGTTAGTGAATGTAAAAATATCTCAAGATTAAATAATTTAAAATGTTTCATTCATTAAGACTCTTTATGCTTTTATGGTTATTTAAAATTGTGTGATATCTTCAAAGTCACGGCGTGTCACATCATAAATAATAAGAGATTTAACAAAGTATACATTGAGTTTATTTAAAAATATATATTCAAAAGTATGCATTTTGAAAAAACTTACTTAGAATTTGTATCCTGTGGATCGTTCGTAGCTAAATTATACATGTGTAATAGAGTTTCGATATATCTTTTAAAAGCTGCATGAGGCGTAGAACTTCGTTTTGTGTACTGAAGTACCTATTAATAAAACAAAATTTTTTTATTTATTACATGAAAAGTAATATTTTATTATTTTTATAAATAATATTACTTGAAAATTTTCTATAAAGAAACTTTCAAGTGTATACAGTGTAATCTTATTTTTTATATTATAATTTATAATTTATTTTTATATGTTATATGTTATGATTTAGTTAAAACGTATAAAAATAAAGATCTTAATTAGGTATTAAAAATAATTATTTACTATTTTAGTAAATGTACACACACACACACACACACACACACACACACACACACACACACACACACACACACACACACACACACACACACACATGTATATATATATGTATATATGTATATATAGAACAATACCTTTAGTATTTCCGGCACTGAAAGTACTACAATAAGTCCCACTGTGTTAGCCACTACCATTGATAAGAAATTTTGCATATAAAAGCTTTGACCTCTGAAAAACGAAAAAAAAATTTTATAAATCTTATGAAGAAAAATGAGATAAATATTATCATATAATTAGAAATAATTATCATAAAATAATTTACAAACACTCGTAACATCATAGAATATTCTAAAATTTTTCTAAATTTTTGATATTGTTAATGTTTATATACAAAATATAGCATTAAATATTTAAAAATATAAATGTTTTATAAAAATAGTAGTAAGTTAAAACTAATTATCAACTTTATTTCTATTACTATAACTAACTATAACTTTATTAATTTTTTTGATATTTTCTTTAATATTTGATATTTTTTCTTATGTTCAATATGAAAAAGACTTTTGCTAATCTTACAAAACTTATCATTACAATGTTGATAACATTGTAATGATTATTATTATTTTGGGATTTGATTACTCTAAGTAAGCATTTATAATAATACTTACTTTTTGTATAATTTATCATTATACCAATCTGGCAGATCGTTAAATGTTACGTCAGGCGAGTCAGGATCATATGTACTCTTATCCTCTAGAATTAATTTAAAATGTTCGTCCACTGTCTGCGTTTGAACTGTAACGTATTAATATATTTATACATATTAACATTTATCAATAGGCATAATTAAATAACA